TATATATATATATATATATATATATATATATATATATATATATATATCGCCATATATATAACATTTAAAAATCTTAATGACTTGTTATGCTCATAGATCATGACATCTCTTTACACTTATCAGATGGTGGAGGGTTTTTTTTGGCTTGTTTTGTTTTCTTGCAGTGGATATTGATTAGCATAGAACTGATTATAACTAGTCAGTCAGTTCTAGAAAATAAGATATTTCAGAGTTATCAGATGTAATGTAATGTATGTATCACATCTCTCACCTCAAAGCTCAGGGATCTTCCTGCAAGGGTTTACAGGAAAATTAGAAGAGATAGAGATGGCAGATGACTTCTAAGAAGCATTTGTGTATATGTGTGTGTGTGTGTGTGTGTATACACAACAGTTGCTGAGAACTCACAGAGATTGTGACATTATGCATAAAACTTTTCAAAGTAATATCAAACAAAATCTAAGCATGGTAGAGAAGGATATGTACTATGTACTATTCCTTCAGTTGAGGAGCTGCTAGCAAGCCAAAGTCGATTTTCTTTAATGGTGTGACCTCTGGTATATAAATAATGCTCCAGGATAGATTCTTTTCTCAAGAATAGTGGTACAGTTTTTATTGAAATGGGGGGGAGAAGAAAAGGGGTGGAAAGAGAGCAGGGGGGGAAATTGGGGTGGGTAGGGGGAGGGGAAAGGTATACATGTAGGGGTGGCCCTCAAAAAAGTTGGGGAAAAAAAGAGAAGTATGATCATGACACAATATACGAAATTCTCAAAGAAATAATAAAAATAAAATTCTTAAAATACTAGAAAATGGACATTGTGACACATACTTTTAATTGCAGCCTTGTGGGAGGAAGAGACAGAAAGGTCTCTGGGAGTGCATGGCTAGAGAGATCCAGACCAGCCAGCACTACATCATGAAACTGTATTACAAACAAATAAACAAGCAAACCAAAAGATATTGATTCCAACTCTATATTTTTATAACATTAATGCATGATCTAGATAGATATATTAATTATTTTAAGGGTAAGATTCCTTTTACATTGATATGTTTTGGTTTTAATAACAGATATTCCACAAAACTGTGATATAGGTGGAAAATTAATAAGTATTATAGATAACAGAAAATAAATCGAATTAGCATTTTTATTCCATATATAATGCATCAAATGATAAGCATCTAGTTAAATGAGAAACAGTCTGTGTAACACACATCTTTGTTTTCATAAAGGTTAGTCTTAAATATGCTGCTAACACACAGGACAGGGAATACATAACATATACATAATAAACATACACATAAAACCATACATATACCAATTCTTTGGTAAATCCCTATTATTTCTTTCACAATGAATTCTGAAATCTAACAGATGGCTTTTTATGTGCAATATATAAATTTAGATAATGCACCTTTGAGTTTTTGTTTCATACATATTTTATATGTTTTTCAAAATTAGGAGCACAATATTAAAATATAATTTTGTAAATGACTTTCTGAATAACACAACTAATGAAATTCAAATTGACATCTTTATAGTAGCCAGTCTTGATCTCTGCTAAAATACCGAGCGTCAAGAGGAAAGGATAACTCACAGTTCTTAAAACTTTCCTTCACATCCTTCATGAAACTGAATGCCTCTATTTTCCCACTAAAGTAACCATTTCCCTTCCAATTGAATTAAAACAGAACCATTAATCTTTCAACACTGAGGCAGTTGGGCCATATGTTTTTACTGTTTGCTATTTTATATGAAAGCATTCATGAAACTGTTAAAAATCATATCATCACTATTTAAAGTAGAATTTTATTGTGATACTGTATGCTTTGAACTCGATTTCTTAGTTATCTAAAGGAAAGTATTTCTGAGGTGTGTTTAAATATGGATCCAAGCACACGGTGTGGCAGTGCTCTCTGAAGAGCTAATGTACAGAGTACATTTTGTAAAATGAGTGTAATGGTTAGCAAACACTTTCTACCTCTTGGAAAGATGACATGGGTTCATAGATTCAGAAGTTACTTGCTTGAAAACGGCAGCTGGGGTGTTCAAGCCAACAAGGCCTGATTGCTTTCTATTCAGACTGACATGCTAGAGTGAAGTTAAGTACTATGGTGACATGTATTCCTTGTCCTCATCAGTCTGCAGCAAATACTGAGGTGGGGCCACATAGCAACCAGACTACAGTGGTCTGGGTTCAATTTCAGTTCAGTTCCATGCCTTGAAGCCAGGGTCAGGATCTTTGTTCTTTACCAGGGTCAAGATCTTTGTTCTTTAGTGCCTCTCTTTCTTCATTTTTAAAATAAGAAGCAAATAGTTACCACCTCAGAAAATTGGTGTTGAGGTTAAGTAACTACTATGTCTAGGAAACTGACAAGTTTTTAGACTATAATAAGCAATGAATAAATTCTATGCATTATTTTTACTCTTATGACAGAACTATAAATAAAGATAAGGAACAGTCCCTATTTTTAGGAAAGACCTTAGATACTGCAGTTGGTGTGCTATGACTGAATTAATTAGAATTAAGTTACATTCATACATAAGAAAATCAAAGCAAATTGTCTCGTAAAACAACAACAAACATGTTTGGTGAACTTAGGCATGTCTTTGAACTGGCGTAAGAAATACAAGTTGAGATGTCAGTCATATGTGTTGTGAAGCCAGGGATATGGATATAAGTAGTGATATAAGGGCAGGAACCAGGCAGGAAAGAGGGTATACAGAATTGGTTTATGAATAGGATTCATGCATCATAACTTCAGCTAGAGACACAGGAAATGATAATATAAAGAAATATTAACACAACAGAGTTTGGCTCATGACATGGCAAAGACCAGAGATTTCCATCTCTTGCAGTGACAGTTATTCTCACATGCTCAGGTATCTGAATAACTAAATATAAAATTTTCTGATCTTAATCAAGCTTGAAGAACAACCCAAAGGCACAGATACCCTTTTCTTTTTTATTAGAAGTGATCAATAGTAACCTAATGTTTCTGTTTTTACCTGTACATGGTATCTCAGTTTTGTCTGATCAAAGGGACAGGAACTCACCGAGCAACATGCCTGTTTGGCTTCAAAAGTACCTGTCCATTCCATGGAGTTTCAATATTTATCTTCTTATTGGTTTCAAAGTTCTCGCTTTCCCTAGTTTTACCTTTCTGGGATATTTAAAGACAGCAACATTCCAGAATGATGTCACTTGTTAATTTTTAGACGAGGCTAACAAACTCATGAGTTGTGAAACACTCCTTTCATTCAGTTTCCTCCAATCAGCTCCTCACACACTTGCTCCAAGCTCATTTTCTCTTGCTCATTAAGAGCAGCTGTGTTTAAGCAGCTGGTGCGCGTTGGCCACTAAATGCAGGCTCTATAGATATTTAATACCACTTGGTGCTTTATCAACGTTTGCAACCTCTAATTAGTTAAACCACAGAACACCCGACCACATTAGGTAATTATTACTTTCCCCCCATTTCTTAGCTACAAAAACTGAGTATAAGAAAGATTTGTTTTCCACTAGTGTTGACTTTGTTCAGGTTTTTGATGAGAAGTCTTGTTGAGGCTCCATTGGTGTGGCATACCTGACATTTTTAGGAGATGTGACCTCAAGGCAGATTTGCTTTTTTATCTATCTCTTACAGTCTTTGTCCTCTACCATGATATTCTCCAATATAATAATAAGATGAAGGTAAAGGAGTTGTGTTGTAGATATATCAGATGGGACTGTTTATGCTGTATCCTACTGGTTATATAAAGATGAATAGAAACTGAACACTATGTGTGAAAAAAATAGTTCTTCATTGGGACTCTGGGATTGAAATGGCATTAACATTTGTATTACCTTGTTAACTCAGCAACTATGTGGTTATTCACAAAAAAAATATTGTTCTAGGCTAGAAAGAGCTCTAGGTTTATTGTGCTGAGTTATCTATCCAACAACTTACATTTAACTGCTTGAAAAATGCCAGAGTGAAAAATATAAATTTGGGCTGATGTGGGAGTTAATATCTCCATCCAAGAATAAGACTTACTTGTTTAGTACGGTGTTTGAAATTGAGTAGTCTATGCTTTCATTATAATTTGATAGAATGGATATCGTAAGGACTTTTTGAAATGCATAATGAAGCAGAGAAGCAGGCTATTTAATTTTGTTACAAAAATATGTGTTAAATTAGAGAAATAATCAGTTACAGAGAGTTGGTCATTGGAGTAATTTCATAGGGACCTGCTCAAAACAAACACCCAAAGAGAAGCCATGGTAAATGAATTAAATTTAATCACCATGGTTTCTGCTTGTAATTATTGCTTTGTGCTGAACTATAAGGAAATGTAAAAATAGCAAACCACAATATAAAAGAATACAAAAGAGCATTTACTTAGAAAAACAAGTGGGGAAACCTGATACTTCTAGAAGACTGGTTGTCCAATTGCTTTAAGAGATGGTGCTGCTAGGCAGGCTTTTCTGGTCTCGTTTAAAAATAAAAGTTTATTTAAAAAGTCTCTATGGATCACTATATTTTCCAATGAGAAATGAATCTTTTCTGCTTCTGTAGTCTATCTGAGCTCCAGATAGACAAGTTTGAGGCAAGTTTTGGTTTAATTTATACCTGGATGATTTGTTTCCTCATAAATCAATGCAGCAAAAAGTTAAGTATTTGACTTAAGATTATTACCATTTCATCATGGACCCATTCTTATTAATGACTGAGTTCAAATAAAAGATTTTAAAAACTATGCACTCGGTTTCATAATTCTTTTTAAGCACATATTCTAAGAAGTGATGTGATCCCAAATGCTTTTATTTCAAGCAGGATGTATGGCTACTATTTATGAGACTTCCCAGATATCAGATGTCCTGTGGCTCATGTGAAGTTTAAGTAGGTATAATGGAAATATATTTGTGAATTTATGAAATATTAGGAGTAGTACATGTAAGTAGGATTGCTGCTCATGGTCAAGTACGTAAGTTTATCTTTAGTTGTATAGAATAGATAATATAGGAAATAATAAGAGCTATAGGCAATGAAAACTGAAGGAAAAGTGATGGGATTGACTAGTGTAGGGTTCTCTTGGAAGTGTCCTACTAAAGGAATACAGAAATATAGGATGTTCTGTGCAGAGAAAAGGAAAAGAGAAATGGCAGAGGCAAATTTATAAGATATTGTGTTATGCAGGATTCTCTAGAGTAACAGGACTTAAGGAATGAATCCCCCCCTCCTTCCCTTTTTCCCTCCCTTTCTCTCTCCATATATATTTGTGTATGGGTATATGGGTATATGGGAATTTATTGAAATGACTTACAGGCAGCCATCCAACAATGGCTAGTTATGAATGGAAAGTCCAAGAACCTAGAACAAGTCTGCTCAGTCTCAGAAGACTGGGAGTCTCAGCTGATCTGCTGGGATCCTGAAGAGAAATATATGTGCTTACAAGGCAAGTGCAAGTAGGCAAAGAACGAACCTTTCCTTCTTTCATCTTCTTCCATTGCCTTCACATTGGCTTCCAGTAGAAGGTGGAGCCTAGATTAAAGGTGTATCTTTCAGCCTCAATCCCAATCAAAGACATGCTATCTTCTTGCCTCACAATCAGGGTGACAAGCATGCCCTCCATTTCTGGATTATAGTTCATTCTAATTATGTCAAGTTGACAAGAATAGCCATCACAATTGTATTCCTGCTCTTTTTACTGTAATAATATAATGTGAAAAAATTGTATGTGTGTGTACATAATATATATATATATTTGTATGTATATATGTAATCTATGTGTATTCATAATAATATACAGTGCAGATGTGTGTTGTGACTATGTGTACGTACATGTTAATGTATTCATATATTTTTAAAAGAATATATATCTTTGCCTGGAAATTTGTGTTGGAAAGGCAGGAGAAAATTTTGTCACTTCTCATGTTATATTCCATTCAATTTTCTGATGTCTCTGTAAATATCATTATCTTTGCTTGTCATAGGCATAAACAGATATGTAGGTGTAGAAGGACCAAGTTAAGTTGAAGACATACTTCTAAGTCCAAATGATTTTATGGTTTATTGAATATCATAATGACAGTAAAGATTTGAAAGTCACATTTAAAAATATTTAAAAGACTTCAGAAAACACAGTGTTAAAAGAAACTGTTTCTTGAAGTGGAAAAGCATTTTTCCTTTTATATTTACTAGCTTACAGGTAAATGCTGTTCTATATTTGGCCAAAATATCAGCAATTTATGTTTTTTTATTAATATATTGGACAAAAATATTTTTCCTCATTTGTTAAATCAGATCAATATGTGGAAATAAATATAATTTTATTTAACATATTTTTTATGTTTATCAATGATGAGATTTGTTTTGCTTGAACGTATTACTAAACACTTCAGTCAGATTTCTATTTGATATCTAAACTTGGCTTTATATTTTCTGATACTTATTGTTGATCCATTTATGAAGCTAATACTTTTGAATTTAAGACCTTATGAGTTATTTCTTATACTTCAGTGGAGCATAAAACCAGAAAAGAAAGATCAGTATCTGAAATATACTTGTTGTGAGCCTCAATGGGATAATTATTTTATTCCATTGAAATGGGATATAAGTAATGGAATTTCTGAAAATCTAGTTTAAGCAAAAAGGGGATTTCTTATCTCCAGAAGTTTTTCTCTTTTTCTTTGAAACGAGATTCCCCCACCCACATGATATCCTGATTCTGTTTTCCCCTCCCTCTACTCTGCCAAGGTCTCCCCCATATCCTTCTGGGTCCACCCAATTTTGTCATTCATTACAAAATGAATAGGCTTCTAAGGGATAATACTAAAATATAACAAAAGAAAAGGATAACAAGATTAAACAAAAGTTATCGCATTGAAATTGGACAAGAAAAAAGCAGAAAGAAAAGAGCCCAAGAGAATGCCCAAAAATCAGAGACAACCCATTTCCACAATGAAGAATCCCTTCAAAATTTTAAACTGTAAGCCATAATATGCAGTAGAATTGGTACAGGTCCCATGTAGGTTCTGTGAGTGATGCCCCAGTCTCTGTGTCCATATGAGCTTTTATCATTTTCATTTAGAGGACCATGTTTTATTGGTGTTCTCTGTCCCCTCCGCCCCCAGCTCTTACATTCTGCTTCCTCTTCTCTGTGATTCTTTGACTCCTGAGGGAAGGGATTCGATAAAGACATCCTATTTAGGGCTGAATGTTCCAAGGTCTGTCATGCCTGGTTGTAAGGGGTAGATCTCAGTATTTGTTCCTATCTGCCATAGGAGGAAACTTCTCTGATGATGGGGAAAGAAAGACATCTGGGGATTGTGTGCCCTTTTATTACTCTCAGAATTCGTGCACAATGATGACAAAACAGAATGAGGAATCTGGCTCCTGTCACTAGCTGCTCTGCCATTCCTGCCTGCTGGGGACCAGCTCTCTCTTGCTGGTGTAGTAACCTTAATCCCAAAGGGTGATGAGAAAGTTCCAAGCCTAGACTGCCAGCTACTCTACCATCCAAAGGAGGAACCTTTGCTCTGCCCTGGTAGCTATGGGCCCGATAGTCCAAGGTCATGGGATACATGAATACCCACTACAGTGTTGTGTATTTTCTTTGCTAATTCCACCCCTTTGGTCAAATGGTCCTTCACAATTGGTCAGCAGACCTGTGACAGAATTCACGCAACAGAAGGTTGGACAAGGTGTTGATCTGAGTATAACAGAATATCAATATCATTAGGAGTCATTTTGTCACTACTGTTATTTTGTTTGGTTTTGCCCTAGGTCACTGGGCTACCTATTGTCTCTGGCTCTTGTCACACAAGTATTGTCAGGTATGGGTTCTATCTCAAAAGTGAGTCTTAAGTCAAATCAGCCACTGCTGGTTTACTCCTGTAAGTTTTGTATCACTATTGCCTTAGCGCATCTTGCAGCCAGAACACCATTGATGTTTTCGGTTTGTGTTTTTATCTATTGTTATTTGGTACCTTGTAGAATACTGTCTTGTACCAACAATGCTGGCACATAGGAGTGAAGCTTAAATGTAGGTACCACCTTGACTTCTCCATGATCAATGAGTTGTGTCGGTGTTATACTCAGCAAAGGGACCCCGTTGTCAGTTTATGTTGGAAAACTATATTCTTGGCAATTGTCTGGTAGA